ATCCTTGTATTATTGATCCTGTTCTTTTTGCAGTGGAGAATATGTGACCATTTGGTGGTGGATTGCAGCTGACATCATGTTTATCCAACGTTGTTAATAGTGAAATTATCATGGGAAGCCCTGTCCAGCAAAATTTAGAGGAACATATATTTCCTGTTCTTATATCACTACAGTAGGCACTCCACTTTTGTGAAAGTTGGAAGTACAGAACCCTCGAAAGTGGAAAATATTATTATTATTATTATTATTATTATTATTATTATTATTATATGACAAAATAATAATTGCCCTTTTTGTTTGTTGGAATCCGCCCTGAGTCACCTCGGGGAGATAGGGTGGAATATAAATTATTATTATTATTATTATTATTATTATTATTATTATTATTATTATTAAGGATACGGCCATACAGCCTGGAAACTGGAAACCACACAACACTATTATTATTATTATTATTATTATTATTATTATTATTATCATTATTATTATCATCATTATCATTATTATCATTATTTACATAACAAGATTAGTGCACAGCAGTCAAGAACACTAAGCTGGCTTAGTGTTCAGACACTTCCCAAGTGTCTAGGACTGTGTGATGTATTGGCGAATAATGCATGCAGATCCTAGTACAGTGGCGTTTTGCCGCTGACAGGTGGTAATTTTTAAGTGCAGGCCAAGGTCTTTAGGCACTGCACCCAGTGTGCCGATCCCCACTGGGACCACCTTTACTGGCTTTGCAGTTCTATCATTAAATCCTCATCTTACCTACTTACTTAGGCAATCCTAAGGATGATTGTCTTCCAGATGTGGTCTTGGCGGTGGGTCCGTAGGTGGCTGTGGAGCCCTATTCTTGATCCGCATCTTCTCCCACAGTGAGAACATCAATTTCCAGGTGGAAGGCGGTCCTGGTCAGGGTTGGCTTGACACACCTTCCTCTTGGCACATTTCTCTCTTTCGCCCTCTGTTTGTGCTTCTTTGAATTCTGCATCACTGCTGGTCACAGCTGACCTCCAGTTAGAGCGCTCAAGGCTTCCCAGTTCTCGGTGTCCATGCCACAGTTTTTAAGGTTGCCTTTGAACGCATCTTTAAATCTCTTTTCCTGTCCACCAACATTCTGTTTAAATCCTCATATTGTGTAAGCTTTTCCAGTTGCTGCTTGTTGTTGTTATTATTATTGTTATGGGAAAACACCTCTCTAGTGATTTTTAGGTCCTCCAACATCATCTTCTGCCAGAAGGCATCCGCACTCTTTGGCAGAGAAGGCTAAAGACCTTGTAAACCTACAATTTGCATGATTCCATAGCCGTAAGTCATAGCAAAGTGTTATCAAACTGCATTAATTCAACAATGTAAATGCACCCTTGAAGATTACTGTAGCATCAGACTACAAATGCCATCGAGTTGCTGGTGGCATACATGCCCAGAGGACAGGAGGCAACCTGGCACCAGTCCTGCATTCAAAGCAGGCAAGTGCTATGTCTGAGAAATGACGTCCCCCCAGTTCTTCTGGGGTTTCCTGGCCCTTGCCAGAAAAGCTTTGCCACCCACCAGCTCAACTTGATCTTCTTCCCAAGCAGTCAGATAAGAACTATGCAAAATAAGGAGTTTCATAACATGGGCTGATAAAAGAGACACAGTTTCTGGTCAGAGGGGTACCAGCTCCAGTTTGACCTCGGAGGACTGCCCCAGCGATGCCACCCCACACAAATGCTTTGAGCTGTCAATGCTCTGTCTTATACATCTGTAATTATTTTACCAGCCCAACCCTCCTGCCTACAGCTGGGTGATGCCCAAGTATCAAGGTGTTCATTAACTCATTCTGTGTGTGTGTGTGTTCCTTTTTAGAGCATATACTTCTATACAAGTCATGGGAAGTTGTAATTGTAGCAAAGCCAAATGATAGGGATGTATAAGAAGACTCAAGCTCAAGTGGAAATTGGTTGTCGATGACAAAACAATTGCTGTTCAACACTCATCTTTAAACGTATAACTAAGTAAACCCTCACCATGATGTGTTGACATTTGCAGTTTGGCACTGATACTATACATTAGCATTTCTAAACTTGGGACCTCTAGGGGGTCACGAGGGGATGTCAAAGGGGCCATCAAAGGCCATCAGAAAACGGTCTTTTCTGTAGGTCATGGGGATTCTGCATGGGAAATTTGGCCCAATTCTATTGTTGGTGCGGTTCAAAATGTTCTTTGATTGTAGGTGAACTATAAATCCCAGCAACTACAACTCCCAAATGTCAAGGTCTATTTTCCCCAGAATGGAGTTCAGAATGGAGTTCAGAATGTTCTTTTTTAACTATAAATCCCAGCAACTAGAACTCTCCAAAGTCAAGGTCTATTTTCCCCAAACTCCACCAGTGTTCACATATGGACATATTGAGTATTTGTGCCAAGTTTGCTCCAGATTCATCATTGTTTTAGTCTACAGTGCTCTCTGGATGTAGGTGAACTACAACTTCAAAACTCAAAATCAGTGCCCACCAAACCCTTCCAGTGTTTTCTGTTAGTCATGGGAATTCTGTGTGCCAATTTTGGCCCAATTCTAGTGTTAGTGGAGTTCAGAATGCTCTTTGATTGTAGGTTAATAATAAATCCCAGCAACTACAACTCCCAAATGACAATATCAAGCTCTCCCAACCCCACCAGTATTCAAATTTGGTTGTATCAGGTATTTGTGCTGAATTCTGTCCAGTGAATGTAAATACATCCTGCATATCAGATATTTACATTACAATTCACAACAGTAGCAAAATTACAGTTACGAAGTAGCTACGAAAATGATTTTATGGTTGGGGGGTCACCACAACATGAGGAATTGTATTAAGGGGTCGTGGCATTAGGAAGGTTGAGAAACACTGCTATAGATCCTGGAATTTGTAGTTTGGTGAGACACAACTCTTTGGCAGATAAGACTACAGACCTTGTGTAACTGCAGCTCCAAGATTCCATAGCATTGAGTCATGGCAGTTGAAGTGGTGTCAAATTGCGATGGTGGCGCAATGGGTTAAACCCTTGTGCCGGCAGGACTGAAGATTGACAGGTCTCAGGTTCGACTCTGAGGAGAGCACGGATGAGCTCCCTCTGTCAGCTCCAGCAATCTATGCGGGGACATGAGAGAAGCCTCCCACAAGGATGGCAAAACATAAAAAAAAACCCATCTGGGCATCCCCTGGGCAACGTCCTTGCAGACTGCAAATTCTCTCACACCAGAAGCAACTTGCAGTTTCTCAAGTTACTTCTGACACGAAAAAAGGCAACTGAAGTGGTGTCAAATTGCATGAATTGCTTATGTGGCTGAGGAGCAAAAGGAAAAGGCCTGAGACTGTTAGGAATGCTGGGAGTTGAAGTCCAAAACACCTGGAGGGCCCAAGTTTGCCTGTGCTAGATGCTGTTCTTTCCTACCTTTTTGTTGCTGCTGTTCTATTCTTGATAACTCCCTTTCTGCAAACCTCTCAGCAATATCAACAAGCTGAATGCCCTTCTCTTCAGTCTGTTTTTTCTGTCTTTTCCCCAAATAACTTCCATTTATATTTTCCAAGTGTTAGCCACGTGGAATCATCTTTTCTCCTATGTTTTTGGCATAAACTGTGTGCTCAGATTGTGTGAAAAGTTGAGTTTTAATTAAGTCCAGAAGGCATCCCTTGACTTGTCCAGGTTTTAACTTTCCCCAAGTCACCGAAAAGGACAAAAATAAAAGTGAAGCTGTTCCCCTCCCGAACACCCAATATTCCAAAGACAGCTATATCAATTTCTGTCTGCACCTCATTGAAAGCCTGCCCAAGTACTCATCATAACAAAGACCTAAAAAATCATAGAGAAGTGTTTTCACAGGTTAGAAAACAGTAATTTCTTTATTTGATGGGTTGCTGTGAGTTTTCCGGGCTATATGGCCATGTTCCAGAAGAATTCCCTCCTGACGTTTCGCCCACATCTATGGCAGGCATCCTCAGAAGCTATGATGTCTGTTTGAAACTAGGCAAGTGAGGTTTTTATATCTGTGGAATGTCCAGGATGGGAAAAGAAATCTTGTCTGTTTCAGGTAGGTGTGAATGCTGCAATTGGCCACCTCAATTAGCATTTAATAGCTTTGCAGCTTCAAGGCCTGGCTGCTTTCTGTCTGGGGGAATCCTTTTTTGGGAAGTGTTCACTGGCATCCTCAGAGGTTGTGAGGTCTGTTGGAAACTAGGCAAATGAGGTTTTTATATATGTGGAATAATGTCCAGGGTGGGAGAAAGAACTCTTGTTAGCTTGAGGCAGGTTTGAATGTTCAAATTGGCCACCTTGATTAGCATTGAATGGCTTTGCAGCTTCAAAGACTGGCCCTGATTGTTAATCACCTCCCTGGAGCATTATCTCCTGATGTTTTGCCCACATCTATGGCAGGCATCCTCAGAAGTTGTAAGGTCTGTTGGAAACTAGGCAAGTGAGGCTTATATATCTGTGGAATAATGTCCAGGGTGGGAGAAAGAACTCTTGAGGCAAGTGTGAATGTTCCATTTGGCCACCTTGATTAGCATTGAATGGCCTTGCAGCTTCAAAAATGGACCCTGGTTATTAATCACCTTCCAACAAAGAATTCGCCCAAGTCAGGAAGCAGCCAAGCCTTGAAGCTGCAAGGCTTTTCAATGCTAATCAAGGTGATCATTTGCAGCATTCACACTTGCCTCAAACAGACAAGAGTTTTTTCTCCCACCATGGACAGTCCATATATATATATATAAACCCCACCTGCCTAGTTTCCCACAAGCCTCACAACATCTGAGGAGACCTGCCATAGATGTGGGCGAAACGTCAGGAATGAATGTTTCTGGAACATGGCCATACAGCCCGGAAAACTCACAGCAACCCAGTGATATTGGCCATGAAAGCCTTCAACAACTCTTTATTTGATGTTTGTCATTCTCATGGAGATCCCATATTCCTAACCCCAGCAAATGTGGAATGCTGACTGCAATGTCAACATCTGTTTTTTCTGTCCATGGCAGGATCCCACTGAAGAAGTACCCATCTGTCCGGAACCGATTTGGTCGCTCTGGCGTCCCCATTGCTGAGGTGTTAAGGCGAGGGGGGATCAAGGCTGGGAAGCCCTCAGGTTCATCTTTGGTCACCCGGGAGCGACTCCACAATTACATGGATGTAGGTACCTCTTCTCCTTCTTTGGTGGGATCAGACATAAGATAGGACTGACGGTTTAGGTGTTTGGGAGCAGGGCCAATGACCTATTGGTCATAGATTGTGGGCCCTGACTGTGGACTCAGATAACCCAGTTCAAAGCAGATATTGTGGGATTTTCTGCCTTGATATTCTGGGATACAGGGCTGTGTGGGGGGGCCTTGTGTCTGGAGGGCACAGGCGTATAAAGTGGAACGTACCCTCCAACCTTTCAGAAATGGAATCCAGGAAACATGTGGTGGAACTACATTAGAGTGTAATCAGCATAGCCAAAATTATTGATGCGGAGGAATGTACAAGCTAGAAGAGGCTGCAACAGTTTGCTTATGCCTGAGCCTCCTGGGAAGGCGAAGATTCTGACCTTTCTTCTTTCCCACTGAGTTAATTGGGCAGAAATTACTTTTGTATTTTTGAACTCAGTTTACAGCAAGTGAAGTGAGTTGAGGACAAAGTGGAAAAGCGGGAGGACAAACAGGAACCTGGAACATTTTAAGCACAGCTGAAAAAGTGGAATGACAGAGAATTAATCCAGAATATTTTAGGCCCCTTCTACAATGCTATATAAAATCCAGATTATCTGCTTTGTACTGGATTATATGACAGTGTAGACTCATATAATCCAGTTCAAAGCAGATAATGTGGATTTTTGCTGGATTATATGGCAGTGTAGAAGGAGCCCTAGACAAATTAAGACAGTTCAAGGGCATTGTGGATTCATTGTTCTATATAGGTATGATTGCTCTTGTTGCTTCAGTTGGAAGGATAGGGCATGAAAGCTGAGCACAACATGCATTTTCCTAGGATCCAAGCTGTTGGGTTTAATTTCTAATTTTCTAATTATTTATTATTATTGATGAGAATAATTAATTATTATTAATTATTCTAATTTCTAATCATGCTTGCAGTTGGAGAACTTTAAGAGAGGGAAACACTGTGGAAATGTAGTAGACATGATAGTTACATTCAGTGGAGTCTCCATGTTCAGTGGTCTTTACACCTGTGGACACATTTGTGGGGAGGGGGATGATAACGTGAAATCCGATTCCTGTCATCCTGTTGTACATGACTAAAAACAACTTTAGGAAAGCAGTTATACCAGATGACCCTTTGATCAGATGAAGCAAAGCTGATCTCCAAAGAAAAATATTCCAGTGTGAAAGAAATATTATTCCAAATGCAAGCCATGCCTTCCTTGAAGCCATGCCAGAGTCTACCGTATACCATATAGGTGTGTACAAGTCTACATAGGAACCACCAAACGCAGCAGCATTGCCCAAACACAAATCAAGGGACATGAAAGGCACTACAAACTAATTCAACCAGAGAAGTCAGCCATAGCAGAGCACCTGATGAACCAACCTGGACACAGCATATTATTTGAGAACACAGAAATGCTGGACCACTCTCACAACCACCATGTCAGGCTACACAGAGAAGCCATTGAAACACAAAAACATGGACAATTTCAACAGAAAGGAGGAAATCATGAAAATGAACAAAATCTGGCAACCAGTATTTAAAAAGTGGGTTGTTGTAGGTTTTTCGGGTTATACGGCCATGTTCTAGAAGCATTCTCTCCTGATGTTTTGCCTGCATCTGTGGCAAGCATCCTCAGAGGTTGTAAGGTATTAAAAAAGGCCCCCAAAATCAAGACAGTAAATAAAGAGCAACACTAAAAAAACAGGGGAATTCTAGTCAGGAAACAATCAGGGCCAGCTAACACGTCCCAACAAAGGATTCTCCCAGCAGGAAGCAGCAAGGTCTTGAAGCTGCAAGGCCATTCAATGCTAATCAAGGTGGCCAATTGCAACATTCACACTTGCCTCCAACAGACAAGAATTCTTTCTCCCACCCCGGAGATTCCACAGATATATAAACCCAACTTGCCTAGTTTCCAACAGACCTCACAACCTCTGAGGATGCCTACCATAGATGTGGGCAAAACGTCAGGAGAGAATGCTTCTGGAACATGGCCATACAGCCCAGAAAACTCACAGCAACCCATTTCATTCCTTCTCATTGCCCACAATAAACTGTCAGTGTCCCTATACCCTCCAGCACTGCATAAATGAAAACTGGTAGCCAAGCAAACTCCTTGCATCTCATCTTCTCCCGGGGCTGAAAATTCTGTTCTGACTTTTCTTCTTTCTTTCTCCATTTCTTCTTTCCTCCAGGCGCAATACTATGGAGACATCTGCATTGGAACTCCGAAGCAGTGCTTCAGTGTTGTCTTCGATACCGGCTCATCCAATCTGTGGGTGCCTTCCTCCAAGTGTTGCCTCTTCCATCTGGCATGCTGTAAGACCCATATTCTTCAACCAATGCTTAAGGGATGGCCAGGTTGTCGTGCCCGATGTTACAAAAAATTTACTATACTGGTTTGCTGATGAGAAACAGCATGCTGTAACAATTAGAGCCTTGACCTCAGACGGAGTCTTAATTCATCCTTCAATGGCGATTTTTATCATGTTTTTTGATCACTTTGAATTCCTGTCTGCTGTGAATTTATTTTCCTGGCTCATTTTACTTGCTCTCTGATTTAGTCATATGTTTAATTGTTATTTTAAATGTCATAAGCTGCTTTGGGGGGCCTTTTGAGATGTAGAAGGACACTTTTATGAAATCAGATGTAATACGTACATTTATAGCCCCTGATGGCTCAGTGGGTTAAAGCACTGAGCTGCTGAACTTGTTGATCAGAAGGTCTCAGGTTCAAATCTGGGGAGTGGCATGAGCTCCCGCTGTTAGCCTCAGCTTCTGCCAACCTAGCAGTTCGAAAACATGCAAATATGAGTAGATCAATAGATACCGCTCCGGTGGGAAGGTAACTGTGCTCCATGCAGTCATGCCAGCCACATGACCTTGGAGGTGTCAACGGAGAACGCCGGCTCTTCGGCTTAGAAATGGAGATGAGCACCAACCCTCAGAGTCGGACGTGAATGGACTTAATGTCAGGGGGAAACCTTTACCTTTACTATAGCTCTGGAATGGGTCAGGGGAGGGAGGAAAGCTAATTGTCGGTCTTTTGGCAATTTTTAAAGGTGCGATTGCTACAGGAATGTTGGAAGTAAGTGTGGTGGAAATACACCAAAGGGCAGTCTTACAAATTCACTCAAAAAATAACAATGAAGTAAGGACCTGGGCATTTAGACTTCCTAGCCAGAAAACTTTGTTGCCTCGTCACCTGTATCATTCCAAGATTCCAAAAAATGTGGCTATGGATTGTGATTTTATTATATTATGATCTATGCTGTACAACTTTATGCATTCTTGCAATAGATACTGATACATAATATAATATGGAAACCAAAAAAATCAACCCAGAAAACCTTGGTCAACATATACATAAAAAGTAAAAGTTGTCCCCTGACATTAAGTCCAGTCGTGTCTGACTCTGGGGTGTGGTGCTCATCTCCATTTCTAAGCTGAGGAGCTGGTGTTGTCCGTAGACACCTCCAAGGTCATGTGGCCAGCATGACAACATATACATAGGTCGATGCAATACCTTTGTCTCCCTCAGCATCATTTCTTTTTATTATATAATGTTTTATTAGTGAGGTTTTCAGAATATACATAAAAATAGAAAGAAGGAGAAGTAAAAAAAAATATAGTGATTACATCGAAAGTGGGAGAACGAGGGAAAGGAGAAGAAAGGATTTAAAAAAGTGTCCAAAAACGGGGGGGGGGGGGGGGGGGGGGGGAGAAAAAAATTGTTGACTTCCATCTGATCTTTCTTGGTCTTTTATGTCTTTATCCATGTTTATCAGAATAATTGATAAGCACCATTTTTTTTCGTAGGTCCCTGCCTGGGCAGCGAAAGTTAGTGCTTCATTTAGGCTCTTACTAGGGCAGAATCATGCAAGAAAAATAACTTCCAAGTTAAAGTATAGCACATAAGGTGCATCTGTAGAATTAATCCAGATTGATGCCACTTTAACTGCTGTGGCTCAATGCGATGGAATCCTGGGATTTGTGCTTTGGTGAGACACCAGCATTCTTTGGCCGAGAAGGCTAAAGACTTTGTAGGTCTCATGATTCCATAACTTTGAGCCATGTATGGTGAATGTGGCATCAAACTGCATTAATCCTACAGTGTAGTCAGGCATGGGCAAACTTAGGCCCTCCAGGTGTTTTGGACTACAACTCCCACAATTCCTAACAGCTGGTAGGCTGTTAGGAATTGTGGGAGTTGAAGTCCAAAACACCTGGAGGGCCAAAGTTTTCCATGTCTGGTGTAGATGCACCCATATTGAACTAGTATCATAGAGTGAGAAGTGACCACAAGAGCATCCAGTCCAACCCCCAGATACACAGTCTCTTACTATGAGGCCATTTAGTCCAGAATCTAAAATTATTTAGTTCCCCATCGCTCCCAAGAAGGGCTATCAAGGCAACTAGAAATCTTATTTGTGAGAATGTTGAATGGTGTATGGAAAATCTGCCATCAGACATTTTAGAGGTGATGGCTGAGAGCCTCTGGTCTTTTACTTCGTTGTCCCCATAATGGCTGTTGCGGAAGACAGGACTATTTTGTTGACCGATCCTGTGCAAGAGAATATTGAGATTTTTAAAGAAAGAGTTCAGTCAATTGCAGAATTATGACAGAATGCCACTCATATGAGTAACTACTATTGTGGAATGATTGACTTTAGAAGAAATACTTTATTAGAACCCAGATACATTAGAAAAACCTTCATCTCTATCACTGTATATGGATTGCAATTTTTCCCCTCTCTGTTTTCAGGGGTTCACAGCCACTACAGGTCCTTCTTTTCCCGCACTCACAAGTCCAACGACTCCAAGTTTGCAATTCACTATGGAAGCGGCAGCCTCAAGGGGTTCTTGAGCGAGGATGTGGTTAGGGTGAGTAGCAATAAGGGGGTTCAGATGCCTTGAGTCTCTATGGCAGTGTTTCTCAACCTGGGGAGTCGGGATCCCTAGGTTGGGTCCTGAGTGGATGTCAGAGGGGTTGCCACAGACCATCAGAAAACACAGTATTTTTATTTATTCTGTTGGTCATGGGGGTTCTGTGTGGGAAGTTTGGCCTAATTCTATACTTGGTGGGGTCCAGAATGCTCTTTGATTGTAGGTAAACTATAAATCCCAGCAACTACAACTCCCAAATATCAAGGTCTATTTTCCCCAAACTCTACCAGTGTTCACATTTGGGCATATTGAGTATTTGTGCCAAGTTTGGTCTAGATTCATCATGCTTTGAGTCTACAATGCTCTCTGGATGTAGGTGAACTACAACTCCAAAACTCAAGGTCAATCCCCACCAAACCCTTCCAGTATTTTCTGTTAGTCATCCTAACCCTAACCCAAACCTCACCACCAAACTCTTCCAGTATTTTCTGTTGGTCTTAAGAGTTTTGTGTGCTAAATTTTGTTCAGTTCCATCATTGGTGGAATTCAGAATGCTCTTTGATTTTAGGTGAACTATAAATCCCAGTGACTACAACTCCCAAATAACAAAATCAATCCCCCCTCCAATCCAATCAGTATTCAAATTTGGGTGTATCGGGTATTTGTGCCAAATTTGGTCCAGTGAATGAAAATACATCCTGCATATCAGATATTTACATTACGATTCATAACAGTAGCAAAATTACAGTTATGAATTAGCAACGAAAATAATGTTATGGTTGGGGGTCACCCCAACATGAGGAACTGTATTAAGGGGTCATGGCATTAGAAAGGTTGAGAAACACTGCTCAATGGAGAGGGTGGCTTGATATAAAGAGCACTCCTAAAAAGAAGTAAATACAGTATAATAGAATCCCCACTAGACCTGTATCTATAGTTTCATTTATCCACATAAGCAAAAGTATGTCTTCCCTAGGCATTGTATAGTCCCTCCAATATGACTCTATAGTATTCTTGTGCAGAAAGCCCAAAATGTTAATAGGGTATGATATTATATTACTTTTGCTTCTTCTCTCTGTTACATAAATAGAGATGAAAAGGGATGCAGATCTAAATGGCCTTTTCATCTAACAACCTCACAATTAAAGTTCCTCAAGAAGGCACCTTGACTCAAGTGTTGGCAGTTTACTTACATATTTCAATGTAATGGGTGGATCGAAAGCTTAATTGGCTAAAAGATTAATCAGCTACAGATCTTTAAGTGCAGAGAGAGCTTTAATTAGAACTATTCTGAAATTCTTCCTGATTATTATTATCGTTAGTTATTATGCATGCAGTGGCATCTGTGGATGTGGCTCTCCATAGGGTTTCATAAGCAACAAAAAATATAGGTCTCGATCCTGCCAAGCAAGCAATGTAAATTTTGACACAGATGTGGCAACAGAACGAAAGGGATGAAAAACGGGGAAAGGTGGTAAAGGAAAAGCTGAGACAAAGGGAAGAATAAAGATACATTGAGCATTGGTTTCTGAGGGCGCTTCCACACAGCCCTATATCCCAGAATATCAAGGCAGAAAATCCCACAATATCTGCTTTGAAATGGGTTATCTGAGTTCACAGTCAGATAATATGGGATTTCCTGCCTTGAAGTTCTGGGATATAGGGCTGTGTGGAAGGACCCTTAGTGTGGACTCAGATAACCCAGTTCAAATCAGATATTGTGGGATTTTCTGCCTTGATATTCTGGGATATAGGGCTGTGTGGAAGGGCCCTGAAAGGGATGAAGGATTTGACCAGCAATCCCCAACTTAGGGTGCATCGACAGTGTAGAATTAAAGCAGTCTGACACTCTTTAACTGCCATGGTTCAATGCTATGGGATCCTGAAGTTAGAGTTTGATGAGGCACCAGCACTCTTTGGCAGAAAAGGCTAAAGACCTTGGAAAACTATAGCTCCCAGGCTTCCATAGCATTGAGCCATGGCAGTTAAAGTGATGTGAAACCTCAGTGTGGGTGCATATGACACCTCTGTCACTCTCATCCAACCCTAGTATCATCTATGGTGGTGGCCATGTCATCTACAAAGTCATTGCAGCACACCAAGAAGAATAGTTTGGGAGATTTGCAAGATACTCCACTTAGGCAGAAAAAACGAAATGCAAAGATACAGAATGGGGGACAATGCCTGGCTCGAGAGCAGTACATGTGAAAAAGATCTTGGAGTTCTCATGGACAACAAGTCCAATTCTGGGCACCACAATTCAAGAGAGATATTGACAAGCTGGAATGTGTCCAGAGGAGGGCGACTAAAATGATCAAGGGTCTGGAGAACAAGCCCTATGAGGAGCGGCTTAAGGAGCTGGGCATGTTTAGCCTGAAGAAGAGAAGGATGAGAGGAGATATGATAGCCATGTATAAATATGTGAGAGGAAGCCACAGGGAGGAGGGAGCAAGCTTGTTTGTTGCTTCCATGGAGATTAGGACAAGGAACAATGGAACAATGGCTTCAAACTACAAGAAAGGAGATTCCATCTGAACATGAGGAAGAACTTCATGACTGTGAGAGCCATTCAGCAGTGGAACTCTCTGCCCCGGAGTGTGGTGGAGGCTCCTTCTTTGGAAGCTCTTAAACAGCCTCTTAAACAGCCTCTTAAACAGAGACTGGATGGCCATCTGTCAGGGGTGATTTGAATGCAATATTCCTGCTTCTTGGTAGGGGGTTGGACTGGATGGCCCATGAGGTCTCTTCCAACTCTTTGATTCTATGATTCGATGATTTCAGAAGAAAAGATTTCTAGGACACAGAGTGGTCTCTTATGATAGAGCAATGGTTCTCAGACTGTACTCCTTCAGATCTTTTGGACTTCAGCTCCCACAATTTCTAACATCTGGTAAGTTGGCTAGGATTTCTGGGAGCTGAAGTCTACACCTGGGGGAGTACAGTTTGAGAAACACAGTGATAGAGGCCTGGGTAAAACTTTTCTTTCCTTTCAAAACAAACCAAGCTGCCTATGTTTCAACACAAGCCAGCATTGGAAATTGTAACAAGGTTGGTCACCATCAAACCAGTCCTCTCCTTTGGCATAAAAGTCAAGACGTGGCTTTTTGAACAAGCATTTCCAAACGCAGAGTAACTGACATAGGAAAATGGAACGACGACAATGAGACTGGACAACGTTTTTAACAAGGAGACACTATGAATTTATATTTTATTGATATGTTTAGTTTTCATTATATGTTATGTTTTTAATTGTATATATGATATTGTAAGCATTGAATTTTACCCTGTTAACCGCCTTGAGTCACCTACGGGCTGAGAAAAGCGGTATACAAATACAGTAAATAAATAAATAAAAGAAGAAGAAAGGAGAGGGGAGCACACAGGGCACAAACTTGAGTCTTCACATGTGCCATTAACATGTGCAAGGCAAACATCAATCACATCATTCCTGTTAACATCAGATCCATTTTGGCCATATTTGAGTCTCTTGTTTTCTTCTAGACTACACTTCCCATTATCCCTGACTGGCTGGGACTGATGGGAGTTATAATCCAGACCATTGGAAAGAGGTCAGGTTGGGAAAATCTAAGGATTGAAGCAGGAAAGATGCTGGCGTTGAGGAATTGTTTCAAAACTCTGCCTTATAGTGGGCAGTGATGGACATGAAGGCAACAGAACATTATAGGGAAGGGTTGGGTAGTGGAAAAGGTTGTGATGCTTACATTCTTACCTTCCCACAGATAGGTGATATGACCATTCACAACCAAACATTTGCTGAAGCCACAGATTTGCCAGGACTGGTTTTCGTAGCTGCGAAGTTTGACGGCATCCTGGGACTGGGTTATCCCTCAATCTCGGTGAACAACGTCACTCCTGTCTTTGATAACATGATGAAGCAGAAGTTGCTTGAGAAGAACGTCTTCTCATTTCAGCTCTGCAGGTATGGGCCCCCAATATATGTCCTGCTTTCCTCTTTTCTCTCAAGATGGTTTTTGTCTTTTACCAAATCTCTCTCTCTCTCCTTTTTTCTCATTTTTCCCTGTTTAGGCTGCTCTTTCTGGAATCTACATATTGTTTGATTACAAACGTTATAAAGTTGTTGGATTACCACGCCTTCTTGACCATTGGAGCTCTTGGGAACTGTTTCCCAACAGCACCAATTCAGCCATAGGTTCCTTTCCCCCTTTTGCTTGAGCGAAAATCTGCAAAAACGCTTGTAGATTTTTGAGAATTTTACTCTTCCCAGCAGGGCGGCCCCAAGTAATTTATTTTTATGCGGGAATCTGGGGAAATAGTTTTGTAATTGAGTTGACATTCTTCTTCCCAATGACTCACCAAGACCGGGTTAGGGTTTCAAAATGCCTCACTGTACACACTACAATTAGAGGTTTTATTGCCAGGTGGAGCACAGTCCAAAATACATATTAAGAGCTGACAGTAACTTCACACATGTTACGTATATGTCTAGGATTCCTATTATTTCTCTTTAATTCTTAGCTACTTTGTTGAGTGGCAGGTAATTCTGTTATGGTCCTGGCTGCTGTTCTATGCTCTTTTATAATAATTGTTATGAGAGTTTCTTTTGGGCAAGAGAATAGCGGGAAGTGACATTGTGTTTTGTAATATATGTGCATTTCCAGTCATACAAGTTGAGTGAGTAGGGAACAAATATCCAATCTATTTTGTTGGCTCTTTGAAGGTCTATCTACAAGTGACTATCCATGAATTCAGCATATTCTCTCAATTCAGGAGGAACCTGTGAATTTATCTGGCATTCTTCTTGAGATGTCCTTGGTTTGTGGTGTGAGAAAGAAATACGGGGGTGGGTCGAAAAGTTTTGCCTCCTGTGTCATAAAAAGGTTATGAATGAACGTATTGTTAGGGCAGTTGGTGTGTGTGTTAACTGAAAAATGCAAATCACGAAGATGATTGGTTGGGCTACAGCCAAGGAGCTAGCTGAGCCTGGGAGTTTTGGCAACAGTTAAATGTTTAGGCTTTAACTGTGCAGAACTGTGAGAGACAGTTCTGAGTTCTTGCTTCATGAGTTGCAGAAGGGAGATCTTTCACATTGACACGTAAAGACCATTTGAATATCTCTCAAAGGGCATTGTGTGAGTCAATGCAACTGTTCACATGATTGTATATATGTTGCTCTGCATTACAAAGAGTAAACGTCTTGCTCTTTACTGATCATCTGCATGGCATATTTTCTTTCTCTAGCAAGACAGTATGTGGACTGGTAAAACATGAACTACATGTAATTTTCATTCTGCCACATATATGACAGCAGGAGTTGCTACAGATCTATCCTCTACACACAACTACCATTCAACATAGTCACCATCAATTTATACACAACATATGAATTTTGCTGTTGATTGTAGCACCATGCTGCAGAAAATCAATAAGAACAACACTTGTGTGTCCCAAAGCACTGTTGTCATAACCTTCTGTGCCGATCTGGTAGATTTGAATTTTTGGGACATGGAGAACCACTGGGGAGCCATTCCTTTACTCTGCTGGTCAGTAGTGCCCCACTCACCCTACGTGGTTTCAGATTCAATGACTTGAATGATGTTAAAACAGCTTTAAAATCATGGGTCATGAAGCAAAATCCTGAATTTTTCCAAAATGGTTTTGATGCCTGGGTTAAATGATAACACAAATGTGTACAAATTGATGGTGACTATGTTGAATGGTAGTTTTGCATAGATGATAGTTCAGGCTATGAACTATTGCTGTAGCGTATACTCTTCAACATATCGCAAATGGAAATCAGAAAATGTGTGGTCAAGATGGCAAAAATTACTAATGAAAAAGAACACCCAAGCTAGGAGAGACCTCAACAGTTTGCTTTTGCCTTACTGGAAATGACATAATTCTGCCCTCTCCTGTCCTCCTCCATCTGTTGTGTTAACTGATGACAAATTTATTTTGCACTTTGGAAATCAGTTTGCAGGAATTGAAATAAGCTGAGGACAAGTGAGGGGAGGAGAGAGAAACAGGGACATTTTAGAAGCAGCTGAAAAAAGTGAGATGACAGGATTAGAACTGTCCCTTCCAACTTGAGATAGTTGGAGGGCATGCCTGCTTAGCCTTTACCAAACCAGTTTGTTACAGATGTATTGGACAACAATCCCCATCACTCCAACATAGCCATGACTTTGGTGTCCTGATGGTATATACCTTTTTCATTGCTATCTCATCCAGAGTTTTATCATTTTATGTCGTGCATTTGGCCCGCCCACTGTGTTTGATTTTCCATTATATTATTTTAATAATAATAATAATAATAATAATAATAATAATAATCTTTATTTATACCCCACCACCATCTCCCTCAACGGGGACTCGGAGCGGCTTACATGGGGCCAAGCCCGAACAACACATTACAATACAAAAATACAAATTGCAGTAAAATAAACAACATAACAATAAGGTATAAAACATCAAAGCATATAAACAATATACACAAAACATAGAAACCAAAACATAATGACAGAGAGCGGGCTGCGTGTACATAAAATGATTTAAAAACTCAGGGTGAGATAAAGGGGCAGAACTATATGTAAGGGAACTATTTTGCACTGTTTATTGTACTTGAATGGCTTATTTATTTTATTGTGATGTTATTTTTGTTGTTTATATTTTATTTTGCTGTAATGTTTCACTGGACTTGGCCACATGTAAGCCGCTCTGAGTCCCCTTTGGGGAGATGGTGGCGGGGTATAAATAAAGTTTATTATTATTATTATTATTATTATTATTATTATTATTATTATTATGGTACATATTTCCCCCCTGTTTATTTTCTCTGGGTTTTTGCTCTTAGACAAAAACTGAAGGCTCAACAAAGTTTTGAGGATAAGCAAACCGTTTTCATTTGGGCAGAAAAAATAATCACCAATGTAGAGAATAAGGCTGTAATTCTGCATGCAGTTCTTAGGAGTCAATCCTACTGTTCTCAGTTTGAGTGGACACGTATAACGTTGCACTTTAATTTAGGATTAGTTGACTGTGATAAGTAAACAATCCTTTGGTCTATATCAGTTTGGTCTAATGTCTTTTATATCTTGCTTAATAGAGCAAACAGATCCAAAGCTCTTGGGGACCAGGTGGTTTATAAAGGCAAATATAGTAATTAATAAGGTTGTTTTTTGTAGCTGGAACACAGTGCTGATTTCTGAGTCCTCCCAAGTCTTTTTCAAATTACAGATTTCGGCAGGGAAATGATGTTTTGTGCAGATGGTTCATGGATCTCTAAGTAAACTGCTAGGGATACGCAGAGTGGGATTTGGGGGTAGGGGAGCTGCCTAGTTTTAAAATGTAATTTTAATTGCATTTTATTTCATTATGTTTTAACTTTTACACTCATGATACAAATATTTGTTTGTTTAACATTCATAATCATATGTATCTGTATTGCCTTTGTTGTGCCACCTTGAGACCTTATGGGGAGAACAGTGGGATAAAAAATGATGATGATGATGATGAGGAGGAGGCTTAAAGACCTTGGCTTGCACTTAAAAATAATAGGCACTGACAAAATTACCATTTGACAGCTGCAAAAGGCCACCCTACTCAGATCTGCAGACATTATTCGCTGATGCATTTATTTATTTATATTCTGCCCTTCTCCCCCAGAGGAGACTCAGGGCGGATCACAGAACACATATACAGCAAACATATATGTTATACACTGACAAGACAGACAACTGTACATAGATAGAGGTAGATATAGGCTTTTCCCATTTTTGGCATCTTGGAGGCTGTGCTTGGTTCCAACCACAGGGAGATGCTGTTGCTCCACTTTCCCTGCCAAAGAGCTTTGTTTGTAGACTTCCACCTTGATCAAATTGCCAATATTTTTCTAGCAATTCCTTATAGGTGCTTTAAATACCTTTCTGCTTAAGCAGTACCTGTTTATCTACTCACATTTCTGTTTTTGAAACTGCTAGGTAGGCAGAAGCTGGGCTAAAGGCCAAGAGCTCACCCTGAACAAGGCTTCAAACTTTTTTTTGTCGTGTCAGGAGCGACTTGAGAAACTGCAAGTCGCTTCTGGTGTGAGAGAATTGGCCGTCTGCAAGGATGTTGCCCAGGGGACGCCCAGATGATTTGATGTTTTTATCATCCTTGTGGGAGGCTTCTCTCATGTCCCCGCATGAGGAGCTGTAGCTGATAGAGGGAGCTCATCCGCCTCTCCCCGGATGAGCTCATCCGTCGGTCTTCAGTCCTGCTGGCACAGGGGCTTAACTTGGGAAGTGTTCAACGTATAATCGAACACAAAAGCCAGCATAGTGATCTTGTTTGCTGTGTACTAATCTTGTTGTGTATCAAATAATAATAATAATAACAACAATAATGATGATGATGATTTCCTCCAAACTACAGTTTCCCCATTTCTTTGAAGGGGAAATATTTAACCATTTGTTTTCATGTTTATATGGCTTCAACTCATTTCATTGTTTTTCTAAGGCAAACAGGATTTTTTTTGTCAAGATTTGTTTGAGCTTCTGAAGCTGAGAGAGTGTGACTTGCTCAAGGTCACCCAATGGACTTCCATGGCTGAGTAGGGATTCGAACCTTGGTCTCCAGAGTTGTAGTCCAACGCTTTGGACTACTGGCTTTCAGTTGAGGTTGCATGAAACTGATATCCATAATGAGGTTATACTCAGGAAAAAATGTAGGAAGAGCCACAGAATAACGAAAGGTACCTTCCACACCTACCCTAGCTTTGGTATCGAGATGGCTTGGTCCCAGGGTGTGGTTTGGGATATATGAAGAAGCTGCTTTGCGATAGCTGAGCAGGTCTTCGATCTGGTGAATGCCTGGCTGAGAAACCATCAGGACAACCCATGCATGCAACCAGCCTAAATTGGCTAGCCAGATGGATGTGTCTTAGCTTGCTTGGCATAAAACAATTTTGCTTTCTTTGATCTCCTTGAGCCCTTGTCCTGAGGCTTAGCCCAGGCTCCTATTTGCAGCGCTTGAACTCCACCTTGAAAGCAGAGATAACATTCCTAAGCAGATGGTGAATACCTTGCTGTGCCAGAGCTTAGGAAGGTACTCTTTCAGACTACAACTCCCAGAATCCTGCAGTCAACATGATGAGCTGTTGTACTGACTTGTAGTGACTGTGGGTGCTTCATCGCTGTAGAATTGATGCATTTAGACATCACTTTAACTGCCAAGGTTCAATGCTGTGTAACCTTAGGAGTTGTAGTTTGATGAAGCATCAGCATTCCTTAGCAGAGAAAGCTAAAATTACAATTCCCATGATTTTGTGGCATTAATCATAGTGGTGTCAAACAGCATTACTTCTACAATGCACCCCAAGTAACGTTCCTAGGAGTTGTAGTTTGATGAAGTATCAGTATTCTTTAGCAGAGAAAGCTAAAACTACAATTCCATGGCATTAATCATAGACTGAGAATGATTTAGAACAGGTCCCATCACATGACATTTGCCCATCCTGTGAGTATGCCATTGGGATCCATCTGCAAAGCATAACTGAAACGGATTATTTGCAAATGGATTATTTGCAGATGGGAGGAGCCCCTGGTGGCACAGCGGGTTAAACCACTTAGCTGCTGAACTTGCGGACCAAAAAGGTTGGCGGTTCATTTCCAGAGAGCAGGGTGAGCTCCCACTGTTACCTCTGGCTCCAGCAGTTTGAAAATATGCAAATGTGAGTAGATCAATAGGTACCGCTCCAGAAGGAAGGTAATGGTCCTCCATGCAGTCATGTTGGCCACATAACTTTGGAGGTGTCTATGGACAATGCCTGCTCTTTGGCTTAGACAAGGAGATAAGCACCAACCCCCCCAGAGTCGGACACGAATAGACTTAATGTCAAGGGGAAACCTTTACCTCTGATCGCGTTTTTCAAAAATACTATGGAGTCTTCCATTGCTGAAGTGCTGTTTTGTGTGTGATAGAAAAATCTATATTTATTTATTTTACCATATTTATACTCCACCCTTCTCACCTCGAAGGGGGCTCAGGGTGGCCTCACAGATTCACAACAATTTGATGCCATATAAAACAGTCAATTAAAATAAACAATTACACTAAAAACATAGAATTAAAACATCTTATCAGCAACACTTAAAAACCACGCAGTCCAAAATCATATGCATTCCATCAGCAACAATACTTTTTAAAAGGTCATAGACTGATGCGGGGGTGTTTTGAATGGATTGGGGTGAGCCAGCCATCCGTGGTGTGATAAGTCAAAGTGTAGTATTTTCAAATCATAAGAATCATAGTAATGAAGTGTGATGAGAGTATGCATCCCATCCAATACAGTATGTATCCATTCCTAAAAAAATATGGGATGCATACTGATATAAATAGATTACATTCCAATGTGATAAGGTCCAGTAACTCCCATAAGCCACAGCCAATATGTGTGCCTTCCTTCTCCCCACTCCTATAATGGACTGCTATCTGTGGAGGATTTTTTAACCCCACTGTTGAAGAAGGAATACATTAAAATTCAATCCCCAAATGTTTGCTCTTTCATAGAGGATTATACTGCATGGTTGGAGTGATGCATGATTCCAACCATGCATTTTGAAAATAGTTTTTTATTTGGCTTTGTTGGGATATATAGACTACTGCAATGCTCTCTACGTGGGGCTGCCTTTGAAGACTGCTCGAAAGCTTCAAATGGTCCAACACTTGGCAGCCAGGATGCTAACAGGAGCGGCACTCAGGGAGCATACAACTCCTCTGTTGCGCCAGCTCCACTGGCTGCCAATTTGCTACCAGGCACAATTCAAAGTGCTGGCTTTAGCCTATAAAGCCCTAAACGGTTCTGGCCCGACTTACCTGTCCGAACGCATCTCCTCCTATGAACCAGCTAGGACATTAAGATCATCTGGGGAGGCCCTGCTCTCGGTCCCGCCGGCATCACAAGTATGCCTGGCAGGGACGAGAGACAGGGCCTTCTCAGTGGTGGCCCCGTGGCTGTGGAACGCCCTTCTTACAGATATCAGATTGGCCCCTCCCTACTGGCATTTCAGAGGAAAGTGAAAACCTGGTTTTTTGAACAGGCATTCGATTAGGCAGTGTAATTGAATTGATTACAGGAACACGGAATAACAGATGATGAGATTGGATTCTGATTCTATTGATGAGACGCGAATGATTTGCCATATTGATGTTTAATTGTTGTTATGCAATTGTTTTTAAATGTTCCAATGGTTTTGTAATATGTGCATTGAAATTGTTGCTGTTAACCGCTTTGAGTCGCCTGAGGGCTGAGAAAAGCAGTATATAAATGAAGTAAGTAAATAAATAAATACAGCTACTTTACGGTGCCAAGCTATACTTCCAGAGAAAACTCCTCTGAAAAAGGAAGAATGACAATGGCGTCGCAGGCTGGATGTAGGATTTGCTGCATTGAGGTGACAAATGGGCTAGATGATCTTTGGGGACCCTTCCCGCTCTTATGATTCTATCTTTGAACCTGACCTATCTTTACACCTGGGTATTGTTTCCCTCTCCATATCAATGATCCAAAAAGTGTCCTTTCCCTTAAAAGTGTCTATATCCAAAGAGTATATTGACACTTCTCTCTTTTCTCCAAGCACTAAAAAAAACACCCCAGATAACAGCGGTGGCGAACTCGTCTTTGGAGGGATCAACCACGATGCCTACGAGGGAGAACTGCATTACCTCCCGGTGTCGCGCAAGGCCTACTGGCAGATCAAGATGGACAAGTAAGCCTTGCATCCAAACCAGTTAACTCCTATGTGTAGCTCTGGAATGAGTTGGGGCACGATCTGAGAGAGAAATCTCTAACGAGCCAAAGTAATCAAATAATTGGGAATGGAAATAAAGCATGGGGGGGGGGGAATGTGTGCAGAAAACATTGCTGTCACCTATGGGCATGTAAACATTGATCTAAATTCGTTCTGAAGAGGTTAAACACACAAGGAAACAAAACCCACAATTTGTTTAAATAATTGATATCCTGAGCATATACTGTCAACAAAACCCATTTGTTGACCACGCTTGGGCGTAGACGCGAAGGATAATCATTCAACTCGTCAAGGAAAACGATGAATAAATCGTTATAATTGCCAAACGTATTTCAACCTCACATTCTTATTCGGTAGCCTACATGTCAAAAATGTATCTGATAGATTAGTAGCCTGATAATTTGATAAGCCAGTTCAGGCTTGCAGTCATCCAAATTAATGTACTGAAAGCTTTTTAAAAAATTACTTTTCAGTTATTCTTTGTAGGTATTATTATTAAAGGACTCTCCCTGCTAAAAAGGTGCTCTAACTATGTGTCTGCTCCCAATATGAAATTCATTTGTCTAAAGGAGAAAGGCAAAACCTATGGCAGGAAGTCCTTGTTAGCTAGATAATGTACACATCTAACCAGAAGTAAACCCAGAGTGTTTAGTACGGCTTACATTTAAGTAAGTAACTATAGTATTATTGCCTGAAACTAAAGACAAGTCTGTACAAAATATCAATATTTAACATTCCTATTCTGTTGAATATGTAAAGCTGGATCCAGGTTAGAATTGCATATTATAATATGACCCTTATTTGAAAGTTTGTCACTCCCACCCTTGTTTATACTTAGATCAGAACCATTAAATACAGGAGTGTTAATTTGAAATGAGTGAGACTTAAGAGGCATGTACACTGTAGAATTAGGGAGCCCCCAGTGGAGCTGCGGGTTAAACTGCTGAGCTGCTGAACTTGCTGATCGCAGTTAGCCTCAGCTTCTGCCAACCTAGCAGTTAAAAAATGCAAATGTGAGTAGATCAATAGGTACCATTTCAGCAGGAAGGTAACAGCGCTCCATGCAATCATGCTGGCCACATGACCTTGGAGGTGTCTACGGACAATGCCGGCTCTTCGACTTAGAAATGGAGATGAGTACCACCTCCCAGAGTTGGACACGACTAGACTTAATGTCAAGGGGAAACCTTTACTTTTACACTGTAGAATTAATAGTTTGATACTGCTTTAACTGCCATGGCTCAGTGTCATGGAATTATGGGAGTTGTAATTTTACCACGTCTTCATCCCTCTCTGGCAAAGTGTACTGGTGCCTTACCAAACTACAAGTCCCATTATTTCATAGCATTGACCCATAGCAGATAAAGTGGTGTCAAATTGCATTAATCATACAGTGATGCATCCCATGAGTTCACGTTTAGTCCTAACAATGAATTTCTTGTGCTAAGCATGGGCCCAGATTGGTATCCCATTCTCAACCTGGTGCTCTGCAGATGAGCTGTATAATAACTGACTGGGAATTATGGGATTGTACTCTGTAAGGCACCAAATCTAAGAAGGATGCAATACATTATCATCAACAGTGGTGAGTTTAGCAATCTCTTTCTGTGCCAAAAGTGCTGGATTGCAATGACAGCTCTAGCCACAAGGGGGCAATGCTACCACATTGAAAACCTTCACTGTCATAGAGGTTTTACTTGATCCTGTTTCTAGTTTGGTTTGGATACTCTTGGATATTTTACAATTTTGGCTTTTTTTTAAAGTGTGCAAAGTCTTGTAAGAAAGAAGCTGAAATATGAGGCATACATCTTTTAAAGATTTGAATAAAAATAAATGTGTACTGTCTAGATGAGGGAAATAGTAAATTTATTATGTTGTTTCAATCATGTTATTGGTTTGTAGCTGCAAACCTTGCAAGACTACAACTCTCATGATTCCATAGCATTGAGCCATGCAGTTAAAAGTGGTGTTGAAATGCATTGAGTCTACAATGCAGATGCACGCAATCTATTATAGAGCCCAGGATTCCATTAAAAGGGAGCATGGCAGTTAAAGTGGTGTTGAACTGCTATAATCCTGCACTGCAGATGGTCTCATGGGGACCCTTTCCTGCCCAAAAAGCTCAGGAGGAAAGTCATTTTCCCCTAACCTTTCCCAAACTTTCCATGCAGGATAATTGTGGATAAAAAATCCAAGGAGAAAAGATGCTGGCCGTGGAAAACGTTGAGCAAGGATGACTCAACTCAACTATGCAAGGACGGTTGCCAAGGCATTGTGGACACCGGCACCTCTCTCATCACAGGGCCGAGTGGTGACATCCGGGCTTTGCACGAGGCCCTTGGAGCTAGCCATGCCTATGGAGGGCAGGTAAGTAGGAGTTTACATATCCTGCTTACTTTCAGGCCACCTCCAAAAATATTCTTTCCCTCCAGATCACGCAATCCGGACTTGAGTTTTGGTCGACTCTCAGTGGCCTCATTCTGTCTTCTCAGTCTGTCTGTGCCAGAGTGATATGCCATGATATCGCACTCTAATGCAGACATGGGCTGGATCAACACTACCATATAATGCATTATATGGTCAGTGTAAGTCATATATACTGCATTATATGGGTCCACACTGATCATATACTTGGATGATTCTGATTTATAGGGTCACCATAAGTCAAAGTGGCCTTGAAGGCAATGAATGACATATTCATTAAGAGTGGATATGTATACTATGTATGCGTAATTTATTTTTTGTTTTTTGTGACCCTCTCTGCCTTTTCTTCCCACAGTACTTGCTGGACTGTGACAAGCTCTCAGAGTTGCCAAATGTGACCTTTCAACTAGATGGCAAACCCTACACCTTGACTCCAGAGCAATACACCCTCCAGGTGAGTGATGTCAGCAAAATACCTATGAGAGAGCAAAGGACAGCTTTAGCATGTGTTCAAAGAGAGATGTTCTCTGCCACTCTGTTTGCCTTTTGCCATTGACAGGAGCCTTAATTTAGTTTGTGCTTAAATCAGACCCTGACCTGGATGTAAGACTGGTGTGGACTACAAGTTGGCACTTTTGTTCTTACTTTAAATAGTAGGAGATTCCTATGGCAGATCAAGATCATGTCATATTTGTTGGGCGGATGGGCTTATTAACAAAAGATCTTCCTCATAAATGTACAGCAGAGTAACTTATTAGCAGCAGCGTGATCCAGTACCAGTAGCCAAAAGTGATAAAAAGAACAAAAACACACAGACCAATGTTATCTCTTCCATAGGAGGCTTTTCTTTATAGCAAAATAATATGGTTGCACTATTTGCAAGAACAAGGTCTCCATAACACAAATAAAGTTCTTTATACTTCCCTCTTTGCGTCAACACTGGGCTTCTTTCTCATGGAGATAAACAGCTTCACTCACACAGAGCCCTCTCTCACATCAAAGTTACACAGGAGCTTCACACAGGAGCTTTTTACACACAGCAGCCTTCTCAGTGGAGGTTCAACCTGGGGCTTCTCTCACTGAAACATCTCACACGAGGCCGATTCACACCGAGGTCTACTAACACTGAGGCCTTTCTCTCACTGAGGCCTTCTCACACTGAGGGCTCTCTCAGACTGAGGCCTTTCTCCCACTGAGACCTTCTCACTTTGAGGGCTCTCTCATACTGAGGCCTTTCCCCCACTGAGACCTTCTCACATTGAGGGCTCTCTCATACTGAGGCCCGCTCACACTGAGGGCTCTCTCAGACTGACGCCTTTCTCCCACTGAGACCTCTTACAGACTGAGGGCAATGAAGCTACAGGCACACCTGCTTATATTGAACTACATCTTTTGCTGAATCATTGCATCCCTTTAACCCTTTCAGTGCTTGACTCATTTTTTTTTTTGTAATTAAAAATAACTAGTTAATGTTTAATATTTCTGATAATATTCTGAAGGTCTGGTCTTCTCAGGAAAGCTCAGAAGACAAGAAACTTAGGATGCACCTACACCAGGCATGGACAAATTTCAGCCTTCCTACAGGTGTTTTGAACTTCAACTCTCACAATTCCTGGCCTCGGGCTCCTTCCTTTTTCCCCTCAACTGCTTAAGGCCATGCCTGATCTACACTGTATAATAAATGCAGCTTGACACCACTCTGACTGCCATGGTTTCAGTGCTATGGAGTCCCGGGAGTTGTAGTTTGGTGTGGTTCCCGCACACGTTGTCAGAGAAGACTAAAGATATGGCTAAACTACAACTCCCATGATTCCATAGCACTGAGACATGGCAAAGTGCACTAACTCAGATATACAGTTGGCCCTCAACCTTTGCAGAAGTTAGGAGTCCAAGATTACTATGAAACTGGGAAACGCTTAGAGAACATGTTTTTTCAGTTGATATATCTATAGGGCAACAAATGCAGTAATTTATGAATGATTAAATCTAGAAATGCTTAATCTGTGGACAGACAATTATAATTAGTTTTATATAGCATAGCACATAGAGACGTGAAGTACATAGTTTGGGGAGATTTCTTCTATGCGGTTCCAGGTGGGGCAACAATGGCTTCAGGTAGTTGGCACACTGAGTGCAAATCTGTTTGGAGAGAAATAATCTAATTTTCCCATGCACTGGTAATGTCCTATACTATATTGCTCTCAATATGGGGGTCGGCTTCTGTAATACGCTGCCCATGGGGCTGCTTTTCAATACATTTCAGAAGCATCCACTCATCCAAAATGCCCAATTATTAGTGGCAGCTACATGATACAGATATTGTATCATATTCACCAGGTTGCCAGGACATTTCCAGACCCTATTTATTAATTCATAAGATTTATTAAATACCTAATTAAATAGATTTTCCCAGGCACATCACAAAGTAAAGTTAAAAACGTAATCGATATGAAAAAATCAGAACGTAAATAACATCAGACGAACAGATATGCTGACACAGCTTCAAATACAATATGGATGAAAAAACAAAACAACCGTTAGGGACAAGAGTGGAAGCCTTGGTGCAGCGGAGATTCAAATAGCTAAACACTAAAAATGCTAACATGCTTAAAAAGCCAGGGAAAACAGAAGAAGCTTAGCTTTGCTCGAAAGATATCAGTGTCAGCACAGCTAGCAAAAGGGATTTTGATACTTGAGATGAAGGGGTGACGAAATAGCACTCATTGCCCATTTCAGAAGCTAACTGGCTACCCAGTTGGGTTGTCCTATGAATGTTGTTGTTATTTGTCATCAAGATGTCTTGGACGATGAATAAGAGACCCCCAGAGACATTATTATTGGTTGCTCCACTCACATCTTAGGCATTTATGATGATCTAGGCCAGTGTTTCTTAACCCGGGGGTCGGGATCCCTGGGAGGGGGCACGCGAGGGGGTGTCAGAGGGGTCACCAAAGACCATCAGAAAACACAGTATTTTCTGTTATTCATGAGGGTACTGTGTGGAAAGTTTAGCCCAATTCTGTTGTAGGTGGGAAGCAGAATGCTCTTTGATTGTAAGTGAACTATAAATCCCAGCAACCACAACTCCCAAATGTCAAGGTCCATTTCCCCCAAACTCCTCCAGTGTTCACATTTGGGCATATTGAGTATTTGTGCCAAGTTTGGTCCAGATCCATCATTGTTTGAGCCCACAGTGCTCTCTGGATGTAAGTGAACTACAACTCCAAAACCCAAAGTCAATACCCACCAAACCCTTCCAGTATTTTCTGTAGGTCACGGGAGTTCTGTGTGCCAAATTTGGTTCAATTCTATAATTGATGGAGTTCTAAATGCTTTTCAGTTGTAGGTGAACTATAAATCCCAGCATTTTTATGACTTCCTCCTTTCTGTTGAAATTGTCCACATCCTTGTGAATTTCAGTGGCTTCTCTTTGTAGTCTGACATGGTGGCTGTTAGAGTGGTCAAGCATTTCAGGCTACCATTATTTTAAAAAAATCTCTAAAATCAGGTCAGTAAATAAAGAGCAACACTAAAAAAACCTGGGGAATTCCAGACAAGAATAAATCAGGGACAGCCAACACCTCCCAACAAAGGATCCCCCCAGTCAGCAATCAGCCAGGCGACACTTGCATTTCCCCCTCTCTGCAGAATAACCTTGACTTATCCATGAGTCCATAATTTTGGCCCCCAAATCTGCCCTTAACTTATACATGAATATTTAATTTATATACAGCTTATGCCCAGGCTGCCTTGCACACTCAAGGCACAACAATACCAACCATTTAATGTAGCTTGGAGTCATCTCCAAAGTGTGGTGGCTGTAGCAACCTGCAACTTTAAACCGAGGTAACTGAGATAAGCAAAGTCGGGGGATACTCTGAAATAAAACCTGTAATGTGCATCAGTGTGCTCTAGCTCTAGTATAAACTACATCACATGGAAAAAGCAATTCCACAGAATGCGAATCACTGTGTTGACATCCAAAGTGTTCCTTTGATACACACAGACGCATTCTAGAGGTGAGGAAGCTTTTTTAAAAAGCCTTATTCTCCATGGCTGTTATTTCAAGCCTCTACTACACTGCCGTTGAATGTAGTTTGAAGCTAGCTACAGACTTCGATGGCCAGACAACAAACACCCTCAAAAGTGCATGAAAGAAAGCCCTTAAAGTGCATCAAACTTCCAGGATTTCCTATATAATCATCTCTACAGGAAAACCACTTTCTTCAATACCAGTTCAAAACTGGTTAAATGGGCAGTGTAGATAAGGTCATGCCACTGACAACACAGATCCCGGAAGCAGTTTGGAGGCCAACCTCTGTGATGTGTGTAAACACTAATTAGGATTTGAATATTATCATCTGCATACCAAAACAGCTTCCTTCTATATAGGTTTCAAACTGGCCTAATTGGTCAATATAGATGTATTTCCTGTCTGAAGCTGCCTGGATCCCGATATCCATAGAGACAGACCAAGTGGCACATGCAGCTTTGTCCATCACACTAGAGAATGGATCCACTTAAAACCCAGTTTCTGCCTCCTGCAGAATTCTGGGGTTTGTAGTTTGGGGAGGCTGTTAAGGGCTCCTCCCTAAACTACAAACCCCAGAACTCTGCAGGAGGCAGAAATTGGATTTTAAGTTGATTTTTTTCTCTAGTGTGATGAGGCCCCTTTGACAAGAATTAAATGATCATAGTGCTCAGATGGTCCAGAGATACTTTTATATAGTGCTCTCCTACATTTGCCACCCAAAGCAGTTGCCTAATAGTAGGACTGGCTCTGAATTTGGGAATTCAGGTGAAGCAACTATGGTGGAAAACCTTGAAACGCCTGATGTCTATCAGTCTCCCATAGTGCTTTGACACCAAACTGTCTTTTTTTCTCCCCGTTTCCTCAGGTGAGTCAGTCGGGAGTAAGTACATGCATCAGTGGGTTTATGAGTCTTGACATCCCTAAACCTGTTGGCCCACTCTGGATCCTGGGAGATGTTTTCCTCCGGCAGTATTACTCTGTCTTTGACCGAGATAATGACCGAGTCGGCTTGGCCATTTCCAAACCAACGGCGTGCGGGGCCAGTTCCGACAAGGAAAAACCTAAAGCAGCGGCTCTTGGCACAGAGGCAACGACTGCGGCTCCGACCACGGAAAGTACCACTCCGTCTGGGGACTGTTAGATGAATAGTGCCATCTGATACTGATGGTGGAAAGAGAAGAAAGATTTGATAGCCAACAGGTGAATATCGTGACATGGGTCCTGAACTCGCCATTTCTGAAAATAATTCAAATCAAAAAACGATAAAAGTTTCTAGCCTTCATGGTAACAGAGAAAATAATCAACAAGGCCCTCGTGAGACTGCCAGCTGGGTATTTCCCTTTTGATTCCTGAATCAAGAAACAAAGTGTCTAGTGGTTGTACCACTTGGCTTTCTTCCATTCATATCATTAATTCTACAGCTTATTATATGTTGAATTTTAAGTTTGGACTCTACGTGTCTACTAGGATTGACCTCCAAACAAATATGGATAGAACTACATCATATAGAGCAAGCTTGGGCCCTCCAGGTGTTTTGGACTTCAACTCCCACAATTCCGTACTGGCTGTTAGAAATTGTGGGAGTTGAAGTCCAAAACACCTGGAGGCCAACTTTGCCCATGCCTGATATAGAGAGTCCTGCTTGTCTGTATTGTTTTCTTGTTGTTGTTGTGTACTTTCAAGTCACTTCTGATTGTCTTGTCAAAATTTGTTCAGAAGATATTTGCCTTTGCTGTCCTCTGAGGCTGAGAGAGAGTGACATGCCAAGGACACCCAGTCTGGCTTGGGTACATGTGTCCCACTTTTCATCTATGTGCAGTCAAAATGTTTCCTTAAAAATCAAGTATTTAAAGATGGGTTTATAATCAAGGGTTTAAGAAACTACTTTCTGAACTTAATTTTGCAGAATCCATCAGACAGCTTTGGCCGGAACACCCAAAGAAATATAAAATAATAAATAACAACAACAACAACAACAACTAAAGACCTTGGCCTGCACTTAAATACAATCGGCACTGACAAAATTACCATCTGCCAGTTGCAGAAGGCCACCTTACTGGGATCTGCATGCATTATTTGCTGATACATCACACAGTCCTAGAGACTTGAGAAGTGTCTGACGTGTGATCCAATACAACAGCCAGCAGAATGATCTTTTTTTGCTGTGGACTCATCTTGTTGTGTTTCAAATAATAATAATATTCTTTATTTATATTCCACACTATCTCCCCAAGGGGACTCAGGGCAGACTACAGAACACATATACGGCAAACATTCAATGCCGTTATACAATTAACAAGGGCAGACAATACATAAACAGAGGTAAAGGCTTTCCCCATCTTTTCCATTTCCGGCATCTGGAGGCTGTGCTCAACTCCGGCCACTGAGGTGTGTGTGCTTGTTTGCTGTTCTTCCATCTTCCATGCCAAGGAGCTTTGTCATCCTTAGATTTCCTCCCAATCGAATCGCCAACATGTCCTTATGGCCACCTTTTATTATCACCCCGCTTAAAACGGTACCTATTTATCTACTCACATTTCTGTTTTCGATCTGCTAGGTGGGCAGGGAGCTGAGACTGATGGTGGGTGCTCACCCTGACCCGGGCTTGAACTGTCAACCTTTATATCAGCAGGATTTTCTGCAGCTTAGTGGTTTAACCCCCCTCAAAATTTCCCCCCAATTCCAATCAAACTTATATTCTGATTTTTAAATTAAACTACAGCTTTCGGTTGGAGGTGATCCAGGTCTAGATTTCCTGTATCAAACAGCAGGTTGGAGTAGATACTCCCTCTAATTTCTGACTGATATCTCTGATGTTTATATGAGGAAGCAAGTCCATCTTAGAATGGAAGAAATACAGTATTATTCTATAATCAATGCAGATTCATGAAAATCAAAATGAATAGGTATATAATATATACATTTCACCTGATTTTTCTAGGTTGTAGAGAGGTGGAAAACAGCCAATAGCACACTGGCTGCTCTTTGGGCAAGTTATGCTCTCTCAGCCTCAGAGGAAGGTAATGTGCCAAACGCACTCAGAACAAATCTCGCCTCTAAAATCCAGTGGCAGGTTCATCGTCAGGGTTGATGTAAATTGGAAGTTGGGTGCTGAAACCATTTCCTCATCCAATGGAAGTCTGATTCAGTCCGCGTATTTGATTCTCTGAGATTTTGATTGGAACTATCCATAACTTTTCATGTGGGCTAGAAACTTGACTCTTATAAAATGAAACAGAAGAGACTTTGAAGCTGCAGTCAAGTCCCAGCCCTGCTGCCCTTGGATAAAATGGAACTTATGCACAGAGTTCTCATCCCTGCTGTGATGTCTTCCACTGCCTGACATAAGCCGCTTAATTCTTCTGCTGACGTCTAGCAGAATGTGCAGCCACACAATCGAATGGAACTGATCAAAGGCATATAATTGATTTCTTAGATCAAGTAGCACCAGCAAATGCCAGGCGGTGTCATTTTTTATGATTTGCATAATATATTTTTGCTGATAACAAGAGCCCTATGGTAAAGCCCATCAAAGGCCTGGAGCGCATATGAGGTGATCGCATGGGCTGCAGTTGGGGGCGAATGTGATTTTGAATGTTCCTCTGCATTCACAAATTCCCTGCATTGGAAAAGTGCTGGATTAAAACCTTCATTCCTGGTGTGATAGTCTGCAATGTGCAGAGAATTCCTTTCTGGGATATTTTTCAAAAAATGTCTTTCCACTGCATGGTTTGGGATAAACCAGGCATGGACATGGTTGGAAAAGGTAGATATGTTAAGCATAATATACGAGGATTGAATGAAAAGCAATGCCTCCACCTTTGTAACTCCTCAACAAATGATAGTACTGGTATGGGGCAGGTACTGGCATGTTCAGTAGTTCTCCTCTACAGTTCCATTTTGGCAGGAAGCCTTAGCATTGAATGGTTGTGTTGTTAAAGTGCGAAGTATGGAACCCTACGCAGATGGTCGGTCAGTGCTACTTAAGCAACATGCAGTCATTGAATTCTTGACAGCAGAAAGTGTCACCCCAAAGGACATTCATCAAAGATTTAGCACCATCTGACTTCCATCTGTTCCCAATAATGAAAGAAGATCTGCGGGGACATCATTATGCTTCTGATGAAGACGTTGAGAGAACTGTGAGACGCTGGTTGCGGAAACAGAGTGTTGACTTCTTCCGTGACAGCTTCAGAAAACTTGTTCATCATTGGCAGAAATGTATCCAATTGTCTGGTGATTATGTGGAAAGGGGAATAATGGTAGTTAAAGAGCACATTGTAAGGAGTATTTCTGTGTTTGATTTGTTAAAATATTTCCATCCAAACCCAAGTAACGAAGGTGGAAGGATTACTTTTCATTCAACACTCATAGAGCAGGCTGAGGTGGAAAAGGAAAGGGCCTGAGGCTGTTAGGAATTGTGGGAGTTAGAGTCCACAATACCTGGAGGGCCCAAGTTTGCCCATACGTGTGATAAACCCATCATGAGCTCAGGATGCTGGATTGTAGAATCATATCTTGCATTCAGGACTATGTATCTTCCATCATTATTTATTACTAGCTTGGGTACCCGGCGGTGCCCTGGTTATTTGAAAAAGGCATTGTTTGTTTTGGGGTGATGGGTAATATTGCTTAGTTAATTAATAACCCTATTTATCAGGAAAAAGCCAGAATGTGATTTAGTTTTTTAAATGAATGCTCCCATTAGAAAATACGTAATGATGTGGGTTAACTACAATTCCCAGAAATGTGGGTCTACCCTCCCCAATCCAGGCCTGTATGCACAGTTGGCCATGTTGAGTCTGTGTGCCAAGTTTGGTCCAGATCTGTGGTTGACTGGGTTCAGTGTCTCTATATAAGGGTGAACTACAATTCCCAGATTCCCATTGCAATCACCTCCAAACCCAGCCAGTGTTTACAGTTGGCCGTGTTGAGTCTGTGTGCCGAGTGTGGTCCAGATCCGTCATCAGCTTGGTTGAGTGCTCTCGAGATGCAGGTGAACTACATCTCCCAAAATCAAGGCCATTTTCCCCAAACCCCTGCAGTATGTTCAGTTGGTCACAGGGCTTCTCTGTGCCATGTTTGGTCCTAGTCCATTGCTGGACCTCTCCAATCTGTTCAGTTGATGATCAATTCCTCTGGGTTTGCTATGTGCCATGGGAAAGGGTAGGAAAGGGTGAAGGGAGAGGCAGTGGACGTGGTCATTCAAATTCCATACAAGGAACCCAGGGATGCCTGCCTGTGATGGAGGAAACACGTCAAATCTAGGATGAAATTCTTCCCAAATGAAAGCATTCCTTGGGTGGTGGGCAGTAGTGTTTGTGGAGTACATTGGCAGCAGTTGGGCTACATGTTCATAGCACTCGCTATAACCTACAATGTCAGTGGAGGGAGTGCCTTTGGAGACTTCTCAACACTTGAAACTATAGCCTGTTTGTGGAGGCTGGAGGATGTCTGTGTAATGGTAGACGCCTCCGCCACATACACATTTTTCACTTTTATTATGGGTATAGATAGATAGATAGATAGATAGATAGATAGATAGATAGATAGATAGATAGATAGATAGATAGATAGATCCTTTAATTTCTTTTCTGTATGAAATGTTCTCCAAGCAACATGCAATAGGATAATCAAGCCTAGAGTTTCCATAGTTTTTGTGACAGGGCTGGGAGGAAACAAGGCTTCTGTTATGACGAATATTCTGTTTTGACTAACTGCACGAAATCTGTAAAGCTTTTACTGTCATTACACTGTCATGCTAGAAATCCAAGCAATATTTGGTGGAATGGTGTGCAATCATCTTGTCCGTTTTTTCTCTCATCTCCAACTTCATTGAGATGAGGACAGGATACTTTTCTAATCATTTCTAATCCATTTACGAGTGGTATATAATATGGTAAATATTATATAGCCACTTTACTATTTACTTGGTTACTTTTCTCAATTGCAATGCAACTATACAAACTTATGTATTAATTTAATGGAAAACCGACAATACCTCAGGCTTGGTCCAACTTATCCCATTGTTTTGGGCTTTCCTGCTATTTAATGTATAAATTCTCTACAATTCAATTCTTCTCTAAGCCAGATAATCTACAAAGTTGCTAAATGCTCCATCGGCTCTGTCTGTGTCTGTGTTATACTGACTAGGGATGATGGGAATTGTATTCTAACATACCTATTGGAAGGTGCCAGGCTGAAGTAACCTGCCTTCATCACCCAAAACCACTTTTAAGTGGCACAATCATGGGATCTGTAGTATTCCAAGGTCTTTAGTCTACTCTGTCAAAGAGATCCCAGATTTCCATAGCATTGAGCTATGGCAGTTTTAGTGATGCCAAACTGCATTAATTCTACAGTGTAGATTAGGCATGGGCAAATTTTGGCTCTCCGGATGTTTTGGACTTCATCTCCCACAATTCCTAACAGCCTACCAGCTTTTAGGAATTGTGGGAGTTGAAGTCCAAAACACCTGGAGGGCCGAAGTTTGCCTATGCCTGGTGT